ATTTTTGCCTGTTTCTTTAATTTCATTAAACTGATTGTATGGTATCCATTCAAATACTACATCATTATAAAAATTAATATCTAATTGTCTTTCTTGAATGAAATCATCAATTTTTTTATTTCCAATCATCCAATTTACTAAGTTTATAGAATTATTTTGAACTAAAATATAATCACTTGTATATGGATTTTGAGATACTCCATACAATATATGAAAATTATAATTTTTTGTTGAATATTTTTTAGCCTAAAATCATAAACAGAAAATGAACATAATATTAAAAACGTAATAATAAAATTATAGTATTTATAAATATTTATACCTCATTTATTAGAGAATCAACAAAATTTTGCAAGTTATGCAAGCATTTTAAAGCAACCTCTTTATTTGAATCTCTTGTATAATATGAACTCCACTCATCTTTCTTGTGTAATGGGCATTCATCCATATTGCTGAATATACAGTTATAGAACCATTTTTGCCTGTTTCTTCAATTTTGTTAAACTGATTGTATGGTATCCATTCAAATACTACATCATTATAGGAATTAATATTTAACTGCCTTTCTTGAATGAAATTATCAATGTTTTCGTCTCTACTCAGGATAAGATAATTTTGAACTAAAATATAGTCATTTGTATCTGGATTTTGAGATATTCCATACAATATAAGTAACTTGTCATTTTTGGTTGAATATTTTTTCGCCTAAAACCATAAACAGAAAATTAATATTATAATATTAAAAAATGAAATAATAAATGTAAAAGTATTTATAGAAATTTATACCTCATCTATTAGAAAATCAACAGGATTTTGCAAGTTATGTAAAGCAACTTCTTTATTTGAATCTCTTGTATAATCTGAAAAGAAGGAGAGAAGAAGAACAGAAAGCAGGAATAGAGCGAAGAAGGAGAGAAGGGAAGGAGGGAGGAAACAAGCGAAAAAGGAGAGAAGGAAGGGAGGGCCCCACTTATATTTCTTGTGTAATGGGCCATTCTTCCATATTGCTGCAGGATTTTGCAAGTTATGCAAACACTTTAAAGCAACCTCTTTATTTGAATCTCTTGTATAATTTGAACTCCACTTATATTTCTTGTGTAATGGGCCATTCCTCCATATTGCTGAATATACAGTTATAGAACCATTTTTGCCTGTTTCTTTAATTTTGTTAAACTGATTGTATGGTATCCATTCAAATACTACATCATCATGGGAATTAATATTTGATAGTCTTTCTAGAATAAAATCATCGACTTTTTTATTTCCACTTAACCAATCTGGAATTTTGTTTTTTATATATTCTGAATAAATATCTTTATTTTGGGAAAACATTTTTTCAAAAGTCTTTTCGAATGGAAATTTGTTTATAACTATAATGATTGATGTGCTACAATTTATGCATAATAATGCATTTGAATATGAATGTAACAGTTGTAACACTATGGTTTAACAAATTATTTTATGAGGGGCGTAGGTTTCATGCATAACAATACGTCTGTGAAATCATTTTGTTAAGTTGCCCCTTCCACAATTTAAATAATAAAAGCTACAAAAACACATTGACATTCATTGTAATATTTTCAAAGGTAATACAAATGGTAAAGCTGTGCAATATTAATAAAATGTATGCGATTTTTTGTAGGGCATATGAATTGGGCAACTACTACGATTTAGTATATTTTGTAAACAAACACAGAATTTATTTATTATTTAGGATTATTTTCAGGTGATGTTAAAATTAATAGAGTAAAATCTGAGAAAAATAATATTTTAGAAGTTTTAAGCTATCTGATATAATTAATCAATGTATTTGACGTTATATACTTCGAGATTATACAATATGAGAAGTTTTTTTTTTCTCTTAACGTATTCTGCTGTTGTTTCTTATTAAGAAGCGTTTAATTGTTTCTTGTTTTAAAAAAATAAAATTAAAACGTTAATTAAAAAAAACAAATATGACGATCCAAAATAAAAAATGCGACACATAATCTTATAATCTATTTGAAAATATTTCTTTGTACATCTATAACATATTATAACAAACCAGGAAATATTTTGAATGGGATTCTATTGTATTGATACTACATAGGTGTAACATACTGTATATTAGTCATGTGATTAAGTTGAAACAATTTTACTTATCATGATGTGTAATAACAATAAATAGAATTGATAAATTCAACAAAAAAAAGCTAATAAAAATTCTTGATCATAAATAATTCGTATTTATGCTAAATGTTGGTTGGTTTCATAATTTGGTTCCACAATTTGGTTTCACAATTTAGTTTCACAATTTTGATTGGTTCGCAATCTTGGTTTCACAATTTTGGTTTGTTTCACGATTTGGTTTGTTCCACAATTTTTTGTTATGAAAAAAAAACAAAATTAAGCGGTGCATAAATTTCAACAAAAAAAGATTCGTTCAAAATTATTGCACCCCAGCCAAATGATCGACATAGTTTATAAGCTGGAGTTTTGTGCAACAGATCCTAGCTTATAAACTACCCATGGGCATATACATCCCACGGGCTCTGATTGGTCTAAAAGTAAGGATATTATTGTCCATAATAACGGACCATACTGGACCTCACCATCAAGGACATTATAATTCTCATATTGAGGACAATAGACCATGTTAGTCCTCATTATGGAGGACATTATTGTCCTCACTTTGTAGGACCATGATGGTCCTCACCATGGAGGACATTATTGTCCGCGCATTATTGGAGGACCATGATGGCATTATTGTCCTCACATTACGGACCATGATGGTCTTCACCATGGAGGACATTATTGTCCTCACATTACATTATTGATTGTTCTCACATTATTAAAGGACTATGATGGTCCTATAAAGAACATTTGTTTTCATATTAAAAAATTATTTAATAATAAAAAATAATAAACATTTAAATTTAAAAAATTAAATATTGGCATAAAGTTATAATCATACAAAATACCTGAATTTATCACTAGTAATTATTAATACCATTAATTTTAAAAAAATCCATTTAAATTAATTTTTTTTATTTTGTTTCTATCATATATTTCGTTTCTTACTAACTACATTTTTTTTTACTTTATGGTTTATTTTTTACTTGGTTTCCTATCATTATCTTTTGCTACCCAACCTCCTATCATGATCATTTTTTTATTTTTTATCTCTCATCATTTTTCACCTCCTATTACTTCTTATTATTCCATTCTTTTCGTCTCCCATTATTTTCTATTACATCATTTCATTTTCCATTATTTCTTTTTCTCTCCTGTTTACTTCCCATCATTTCTTTTTGTTTCTCATCACTCCTTTTCGTCTCCCATTCACTCCTCTTCATCTTCCTATTACTCCTTTTCGTCTCCCATCACTCCTCTTCACCTTCTCATTATTCCTTTTCATCTTCCCTTCACTCCTTCTCGTCTCCCATCACTCCTCTTCATCTTCCCATCACTTCTTTTTGTCTCCCACCACTCCTTTTCGTCCCCCTTCACTACTCTTAACCTTCTCATTACTCCTCTTCATCTTCCCATCACTCCATTTCGTCTCCAATCACTCCTCTTCATCTTCCATCATGTCCTATTTCTCCTTTTTGCTTCCTAACACTTCTCATTACTCTTTTTTACTCCCTTTTATCTTCTATTACTTCTCATTACTCCATTGTTATTTCATTTTTTATTAGCATATTTTTTCTTGATCATTGTAATTATCTTTTCTTTTATTTGTATGACTTCATTAAAAAATAAATACAGTGATTTTTTTCTTTAAAATCGTAAATGTGTGATTTAAAATTTAATATTTACAAATAAAATTTTATTAGATAAGATTATTTTGGGTAAATATGCTTGCAAAAAAATTTTTTTTTAAAATAGATGCTGTCTCTTATACACATCTAAATAGCTTGAGGATGAGTAGTTATTTGTCTATCCCCTTTTAATGAAGAGAGATGTAACTTTCTATATTCCTCTGCTTTTTCAATTTCTAATTTGTTATTTGCAATCAATGAAAGTGAGTGATCTAATTCATTGATATTAGGCCTATTTTCAGGATTCAAATCCCAACACTTGTTCATTAATTTAATATAAGTTATTGGCATTTCCAGCTCATTCATTTCAGGACTAATTCCATTACAAATATCTAATGCTAAATGATGATCATGTGCACGATTGCCAAAAGGTTGTCTTTCAGCTGCTACAAAATACATAATCATACCAAAGCTATAGATATCTGCTGCTTTAGTGTAAGGTTTTCCTCTTAATACTTCAGAGGCCACATAAGGCATAACTCCATAAATATTATTTTGATTGATATCATCAACTTTCCTACATAATCCCATATCTGAAATATATATTCTACTATTTTGTTTTGAAGAAAGATTGCCAAATAATATATTTCCTGTATGAAAATCTTGATGTACTATTTGTTTACGGTGAAGTTCTCTAAGTCCACTGGCAATATAACGTAATATTTGCATCTTATCTTTCCAATTAAAATATTTATAATTCTCATTTATATTTAACCAATTATTAAAACTTCCACCTTCTGCATAGTGAAGAACAACAATATAATTTTTTGTATTTGGATCTTGAGATATTCCATATATATTCATAATTTTACTATTACTAAGAGCCATTTTAGTTGAATATGCCTCAACCTATTAAATATTTATCATATAAATAAAGCGCAAGTATATTGAAAATAACTGAAATTTATGAAATAGTATTTCATACCTCATTTAGTAATTCATTAGCAGGATGTTGTGAATTGTCCAAACATTTTAAAGCAACTTTGAAATCCTTCCATATTGCTGAATATACTGTAGAAAAACCACCTTTACCTATTTCCTTAATTTCATTAAACTGATTATATGGTATCCATTCAAATATTGCATCAGGAAAACTACTAATTTTATCCCGTCTTGCATGAATGAAATTATCAATTTTTACATTTCCACTAGTCCAAGTAAGATACTTTTGAACTAAAATATAATTATTTGTATATGGATTTTGAGATACTCCATACAATATATGAAAATTATAATTTTTTGTTGAATATTTTTTAGCCTAAAATCATAAACAGAAAATGAACATAATATTAAAAATGTAATAATAAAATTATAGTATTTATAAATATTTATACCTCATTTATTAGAGAATCAACAGGATTTTGCAAGTTATGCAAACATTTTAAAGTAACTTCTTTATTTGAATCTCTTGTATAATTTGAACCCCATCTATTTTTCTTGTAGTGTAATGGGCCATTACTCCATTCCGCTGAATATACAGTTACAGAACTATTTTTGCCTGTTTCTTTAATTTCATTAAACTGATTGTATGGTATCCATTCAAATACTACATCATCATATGAATTAACATTTAACTGCCTTTCTTGAATGAAATTATCAATGTTTTCATTTCTATTCAGGATAAGATAATTTTGAACTAAAATATAGTCATTTGAATCTGGATTTTGAGATATTCCATACAATATAAGAAACTTGCTATTTTTGATTGAATATTTTTTCGCCTAAAACCATAAACAGAAAATTAATATTATAATATTAAAAAATGTAATAATAAATGTAAAAGTATTTATGGAAATTTATACCTCATCTATTAGAAAATCAACAGGATTTTGCAAGTTATG